ATGCCACCACCACGTTGGTGCCTCTATGGCGACGTCACCGTGGCATTGGTGCCACCACATTGATGCCACCATGTTGGTTCCACCATGTTGGTTCCACCACCACCACCTTGGTTCCACCATGTTGGTTCCACCATGTTGGTTTCACCACCACATTGGTTCCACCACACTGATGCCACCACATTGGTTCCACCACGTTGGTTCCACCACCACCATGTTGGTGCCACCACGTTGGTTTCACCACCACCACGTTGGTTCCACCACACTGATGCCACCACATTGGTTCCACCACGTTGGTTCCACCACCACCACCTTGGTTCCACCACACTGATGCCACCACGTTGGTTCCACCACATTGGTTCCACCACGTTGGTGCCACCACCACGTTGGTGCCACCACCACCACCACATTGGTTCCATCACACTGATGCCACCATGTTGATGCCACCACGTTGGTTCCACCACCACGTTGGTTCCACCACGTTGGTTCCACCATGTTGGTTCCACCACGTTGGTTCCACCACCACCACGTTGGTTGCACCACATTGGTGCCACCACATTGGTTCCACCACCACCACATTGATTCCACCACGTTGGTTCCATCACACTGATGCCACCATGTTGATGCCACCACGTTGGTTCCACCACCACGTTGGTTCCACCACACTGATGCCACCATCTTGATTCCACCACGTTGCTTCCACCCCAATACCATCAACACCACCGTGACCATCCCACTCACACCAACACCACCACACCACCACCGGTGTCACCACCACCACCACCACCCCAGTGCCACCCCGCTGTCCCCGCAGGCGGTGGCCGGGTGCCGGCTGGCACAGGCACTGACTCAGTACTGCGTCGGGGCCAACTACGGGTGGCTGCTGGCCGAGGGGCTGTTCCTGCACAAGCTGCTGGTCCTTGCCACCTTTTCGGGTGACCGCTGCCTCCCCGCCTTCCTGCTGCTCGGATGGGGTGAGGTGGCCCCGTGTCCCCACGTCCCCATGACCCCATGTCCCCAGCCCTATATCCAATGTCCCCATCCAATGTCTGTACCCAGTATTCCATGTCCCTATCCAACATCCCATGTCCCCATCCCATGTGCCCATCCCATGTCCCCATCCAACATCCCATGTCCCCATCCCATGTGCCCATCCCATGTCCCTCTTCCCATGTCCCCATCCGACATCCCATGTCCT